TTGTACAAGAATCATCAACCTGACAAGCTGAAAAACGTCCCGGTTGTCGCCAAACAGTACGCAGGCAAAGAACGTGAGCTTGTCGGGTTATTGAAGGGCAAGTATGGAGCACTGAGCGTGAAGCGGCTGGAAGAAAACCTGGAGGTATTGGAGCGTACTCACCGGAACCGTGGTGGCAAGAGTGCCGCCAAGAAGCGGGGCTGCTTCATGCTCACGGTCTCGCTGATGTTTTGGCTGTGGGTGCTGCTGTACTTCTCGTTCGGTGCTGTTTTTGTGAGCTTCGTCGTATTGAATGCGTGGGAGTGCCGTGCTCTTGACAACGATGAACAAGAGCTCGAATCATCGGAAGAGTGTGTTCCCTTGAAGAAGGAGCTAGAGACGTTTACGTACGAGCGTGTTGCTGATTACATGAGTCAGAGTCACCCGGATGCTTGCTTTTGTTCGGAATGGAAGGCTCGCGAGAATGCATTGTTCACGAACTTGTCGGGTGACGATCTCCTAAACCTAGTGAGACTGGTGCCATTTTCTCCGGACTTGTTTGGCTCAGCTTGGATTGCGACTGTGAAGGAGCAGGTTCCGTCGCAGGAGTCGTACGACAACTACGCGAAGCCTGTGGTGGATCTGTCGCTGGATGTTGGTTCGTTCGTGTGGTCTTCTGTTCTCGAGCTGACAAGATACGACGAGGCGTCTGAAGAGAAATCTCCGATCGTGGAAGAGGACATCGCTGATATCCCGTCTTTGAACGAAGAAAGTGAAAGCAATGCGCACACGGACTCGCCGGACCGAGCGGCTGATGAGATGGAAAAAGAGATGGAAAACGAAAGCTTTGTCAACGAAGTCGACTCTGACGACCATTTGCCTCAGATTAATCTTGTTGACCATTTGACGGACGAAACTGAAAGAAATATACCGCCGGATCAACCTCGTATGGAGGAGGAAAGAATTAAGTCTGAGGGCGAACTTCAGGTTGGCGAGGTTTATGTCACTGTGAAGGAGGATACGTCGGAGGAGGTTCTTGTTGAGGAAGGTATTTTCTCTTTTCCTCCTGAAGCAGAGGACGAACAGTTTCGAACGGTGGGATCACCTGATGCGGTGGAGTCTGAGAATATTCAATCCGTGAAAGAACTCCCGGTATCGGCTGAAGTTTATGAGATGGAAAAGACTGAAATGGTCGAAAGTCTGGCGAAGGACGGCTCTGTTGTCGTCCCTGGTGAGGAAACTGAGTCCATTAATGGTGACGATGATGAGACTTCGTTTTCTACCGAGGCTAAAGTGATTTATAGCACGGATCATGTTGCTCACGATTTGTCGGACGCCGCTGTGGAAGAATTGTCAGTCGAAGAGAGTGCTGCAGAATCAGACGACATTGTGGAGATTGACGTTGTTCAGGACGCTGAAGATTTGTCTTATGTTGAGGCTGAGACGGTGGCGGGTACGACCGAAAAAGAACTGACTGCTAAGCCCACTGAGGGATACTCTTCCTTTGTTCTTGAGGGAGAGTCTCATCCGGTAGCGGATATTGGAGAAGGCTTATCATCTGATTTCAGTGAGGCAGAACCGGAGATGATTGTCGAGTCGGAGAGTGTTGCTGTAGATTCGCTGGAGGATTCTGAGTCAGGGACTGATCCAGCTGAAGTGGCTTTGACAACTTCTAGTCCTGCTGACGCCGTTGTTGAAGCGACGTCAGATGTGAACATTTCCAGTGATGCGTTTGATGGCGGGAGTAAGAATACTGAAGAAGAATTGGTTTGCTCTGACGAATTTGAAGACGATGCTGCACGAAGGGAATCGGACACTGTATCAGTAGATGTTCCTAACGAATTGTCGATTCCTGCTGATATCGATGAGATGCCGGTTCTGAAGTCGAAAAGTGGGGAGGAGGATGTTTCCATTACGTTGAGTGAAGAAGTTGAGATCGATACAGAACAGAACGAACATGGCGCTGTGATCGAAGTCGAATCAGAAACGGCGAATGACGAGGTGGAGATGGTCGTTTTAAAAGAAGATCCTGCCAGTATTGCCGTGGAAGAAGAGCTCATGGCGGGGTTGAGTTTTGAGCTGCCTTCCAACTCAAACGACGTTGACACTGCAGAGCGCCAATCTGAGGAGAGCGATGAGCTCGGACCGACTATTCCTGCTGAGGCTGATGCATCAGTTCCTAGGTTGGCAGAAGGTGTTGGCGGAGTTGTTGATGACGCTGCGGAGGAGCTCGTGGAAGTGCACGATAATGAGCCTTATAAACAAAAGGAAAACATTCAAGAGGTGCCATCTCTTTCTGCCGACATGAAGCCGGTTGCAGTAGAGGAATCTGGAGAATTGACTCCTCCTTTCGATCCTGAAGCGGGGAACCTGGAAGGCGATGTCGACGGGGAGGCCACAGTGAATGACGACACTGAATCGAGTACTCTCAGTGCACTTGAAGTGGAGCAGTATGTGCCTGAGGCTGACATGGTCAACGAACTTGGTGAGGTACCACCATCGCTTGAAGAAGGTATCGATACGGTCGAACCTATTGAAGATGTCGGTGGATCTGTTTTGGATGAAGAGGTTAGTTTTATATCTGATACTCCTGTACCCAACTCTGATGATAGTGACGATATCGAGGAGGAAGAAGAGATCGCATTCATGGAAGACCTCGAAGACCCAGAGGAAGTGCTCCGAATGGCTGAACTCGCTGCCGCTGCTGCTGAGTTTTCGACGATGGAATCGAGATAGCAGGCTTTCTTATGCAGAGTAGAATGTATATACATGGACATCGGGAATCCCTGCACTGCGATGGACTTCACGCCGTCTTATGGCTGTGACTTACTACGTGTTGACAATGGATCGCCAGAATGCATCCGTACGAACCAGTTTTGTAACAATAACCAAGTTTCATCTTTCTTTCACTCTAGAACTTGATTAGCTCCACTCCTTCCTTCTGTTCTCCACTTGTTGCTTCTGAGCTCCACGAGCAGTTTGTTGCCTAGGGGTTCAACTCCTTTACATGTCCAGAAGCAGACGGCGCGGGTCACTGATGGCCTCAGCGATGCTCTTCAGCACCGTCACACCTTCTCGTCCATCGATGATGCGGTGGTCGTAAGTCAGCGAGAGGAACATCATGGGGCGCGGCACAACCTTGCCCGCGTGCACCGTCGGGCGCATCTTGACACCGTGCACACCCAGAACAGCCGACTGAGGCGCAGTCAGCATTGAGGTGCTCAACAGCGCTCCGTTCACGCCGCTGTTCGAAACAGTGAAAGTGCCACCCGCCAGATCTTCCAGAGCCAACGTGCTGTCACGGGCCTGCTCACCCAGCGTAGTCAGCGTCTTCTCGATGTCCACCACGCTCAACTTCTCAACGTTACGGATAACAGGCATCACAACACTGACGATCGAAGACACAATGCATGTGTTAGTGCAAAGGTGATAATACTACTATTCACCATTGAGATATCTTACCCTCGCTCCGATGCGACGGCCACGTTGATGTCGACGAAGTCGTTGTAGACGATCTCCTTGGCCTCCATGTCGATAACTAGAGGCGAATGGAGCAGCACAAGTTAGATGGCGGGGTGAGACGGGCAAGTGCAGTTTGTACGTACAAGAGTTGGCGGCAGGGATGCGCTGAAGCGCCTGTGCACTGGCCTTGAGGAACGACGACATGATGCCAAGCTTCACACCGTGAGTCTTCTCGAAGCTCTCGCCAAGCTCCTCACGCAGAGCGATCAGGTTGCCCAGATCACACTCCTGGAAGGTGGAAAGCATGGCGGCACTGTTCTGCGTGTCCTTAAGACGCTGTGACGCACGAGTCTTCAGAGCACTCATCTGGACGCGAGTCTCGTTGCGGTTGTATCGGCCCGTAGAAGGCGCCGATGGCGTAGCAGGCGCAGCTGGGGCGGGGGTCGAGGGCTTCGGTGATGAAACTGGAGCCTTCTCAGCTGGGGCAGACGCGGCAGCAGTAGGAGCAGCGGCCGGAGCAGCAGCAGCAGCAGCAGACTCAGCCGGGGCAGGAGCCGCCTTGTCGATCACGAATAGCGGCGATCCCACTTCGACAACGTCCTCAAGCTTCGCCAGCACACTCGTCACCTTACCGGATACTGGAGCGTTGACATCCACGCTCACCTGGATACACGCAGAAGGTAAACTTCAGTCAATAGATTGAAATACACGTAGCTGCCTCAAAGCATATCTTACCTTGTCGGTTTCCACAATGAGAACAGCCTCGTCGGCGCGCACGTAGTCTCCAACATCTACAGCACAACAAGAAAACGACATGTTGGCACAGCCCTTGTACACGCACGGACCCCAACAGACGTAGCTCACTCTTAAGGATAGTCACAATCGTTCCCTCCGAGATGGAGTCACCCATGGACGGCACGTTGACGGTCTCGAGGTCCTCGCCAGCAGGAGCCGCGGGAGCTACCGACTCCTTCGTCGGAGCAGCATCAGTAGAGGCTGCAGCGGCCGGTGCGCTGTTGGCAGCCCGCTTCACCACGCTGAAAAGAGGAGAGCCCACCAGTACGTTATCGTCGATCTGAGCCAGCTGAGCCTCCAGCACGCCAGAGAACGGAGCACGCACATCCACGCTGACCTTGTCAGTCTCCAGCACGACGACCACTTCGTCAGTGTCCACGAAGTCACCGGGGGCTGGACCAAAAAAATACAAAATGTCAGCGATAGTTTCTCCCCAAAAGAGAACAGAAGGACTCATACCTTTCAGCCACTCGACGACCGTTCCCTCCGAGATGGAATCGCCCATAGACGGCACGGGTACCGACTCAGCGGCAGCTAGATTATATTGCATAAACCACGTCAGTGCAATGAGATCCAATACCAAAGTCCATTGCTGCGTACCGGAAGAGAAAGCGCGGGTCATGATCGGCGTTTGTGAGCGCAAGAAGCTGAGAAGGAGGCAGAACACATATAGTTAGTGCACCAGTGTTACAGAGCCATGGATTGCTGGAGGGCGCACCTGTTGCTGTTGTTCACTGCAGAGAGCGAGCGCGTCTGGTGCTGGGCGGCAAGTGCCACCTGCGAGCGTGCAGATCTGGACGCGGCTGTAGCAGCACGGCGCGCTACGAGGCGGCTGCTGCGCACGCTCCTGCCGAGGGCCTGGAAGCTCATGACTGCGGTCTCTGCTGGTTCCTCCTCCGCACAATCGAATTTGTTAAAACGCGTCGCAGCTTGCGCACCCGCACACCAGTCGTACACAACTTGAACTTTGACACACCATTGTTCACAAAGGTGTGTCAACACACCAAGGATTGCCTAATTTTCCCACATACCATCCAAACACGCGATTGGTCGACAAAGGGGAGTTAGCAAATACTGTCCATATCCTTCTAAGTGCGACTGATACTAAGTACACTTTATAATGCGAACATAATCCGCATCACAAAAGCTGTCATGCCGCTCATGCCGGGGTCTCCGCGCCCAGGCACTCCTGCACCCCAGGACGAGGACGACGGCGTGTACCGCTCCCTGTTCCAACAGCCGGTGGTGGAAATACCCCCGGCCGCGCCATCCTACGCCTGGTTTGAGTTCCTCCTGCATCCAGAGGCGCTCCAGAAGCATGTACGTGGATCTCTGTCCTCCCGAAAATGCCACCAATTTATCATCACTCTGCTGCATAGTTGTCCACTCTCCACCAGCAAAAGAAGCGCGACGTACATAGCGCCACGTCTGCCATCGAGTTAGTGCGCGAGTTCCTGGACCAAGCGCAGCTCGTGGCCGATGAAGGCAACGTGCGCAACAAACGCTACAGTGCGCTCCTGCTGGTGGCGGCTCAGGTGGCGCTGCAGATGCAGTTATCACTATCCGCTATCGAGGCGGCACTACCCCTGCATTTCCAGCGACTGCTACTCGACGGTATCGTAGACTTCGCCGAACAACCGTCCAGCAGTCGCAGCGAGTTCACAAAGGACATCACAATTCAGCCCTACGAGGCGCATGTGTTGCACAATCGCTGGACTTTGCGCACACTTGTAAACCAGTCTCAGAACGGATACTTGACCTGCAGTATGCGAGGCGAGGGCGAGGAGATCTCGTCCACGTACCAGATGGCGCTGGGTGATCTCATGGCTAACCACCTACAGATCGCGCAGAACATTCAGACGATTCTCATGAATGACGAGAAGCAAAAGCTCACTATTCAGACGCAGTTGGAAACGTACTACGATCTTGGTATGTATTTTTTCAGCTTCAACGGGTTCGAGAAGGCCTACAGCTGCTTCAGTCGAGCCTCTGAGCTTGCGGAGGACGCAGAGAATGGCGATGTGGATATGGAGGAAGCAAACTCTGCCAAGTTATCTCCAGACATTCGAGCGAACCTCGAAGGGTATCTGGCTGCCTGTGAAGCAGTACTGGAGGTACAGTCAGTGAACGAGAGCCCCTCAGTCCTCAAGACACCGAAGATACAGATCGAGATGGCCTGGGAAGGTCGAGATTGGGACAAGGTGATTGAACTTGTTGAGAATGACATCGTGGCCTCGGATTTGACGCGACTGCCGCCAGGCTATCGAGCGGCGTTGGAGCAGCAGGCGCTTCGACTATTGCGGTCCAGCAGCGATAACTCGATAGAGGATGATCCGCATATTGCAGCGCATACCATTCGGTTTTTCTACAAACGTATCGTGATGGAGAATGCTGTGATGAAGCTTTTGTTTGAAGGTAATGAGGAAGAGGCCACTTCTGTGGAGACCTGCGTCTGTGTGTGCATCCGACTGCTTCAGGACGAGATATTCCACTCTGTAGCCCGAGTTACCGGCAATGATGGAGAGGCCAAGAAGCGTTTTGCAGTGTTTGTGCTGGCACTTAGTGGCTTTGCATACTCAAACGGGCCTGACAGCAGTGCGAAGGCACGAGTCAAGAGGTTTGTTATTCAAGTTCTCCGTCACTTTCCCTGCATTGCGGACTTGGCTGGCGTGTCGGAGATTTTGAGACGGTGTGGTGATCTCCATGTTACGGAAGATATTGCATCAGTGCCTTTTGCAGAAAGTTTGGACAGCTTGGTGATAGTAGAGGGCCATCTTCGTAGTGCGGTGGCCAAGCAAAGGGGACACTTTCGCTTGATGGCAGACGTGGGGGGCATATTTGCGTTCTCTGGTGCGAAAGTGAAAGAGGCCTTTATTGCTGCTCTTCAGATCGAACTGGCTGACGTGACTAACAGTGCGCAAGGAGACGGTAACATCAGCGCGCTTTCGCAGAATCTGGTCACGTTTTGTGCGGCTAACAATTGCTGGGAAATTCTATCTCAATGCAAGGCAGTGGTACCAGCTTCATCCCAGTTGCACTGCGAGCTGGAATTTGTGATAGCGTGCGGTGCGCTGACACAATACTTGTCATCATTAGCAACGTCTCCACTGTCAGCCGGCGTACCGAGTGCCAAGGCTGGTAGCGATGCATTCTCTGTAGCAAGTGCCGAGAATGCCGAGTTCTCCATTATGACGAGTAACAAGCTCATGGGTGATATCTTGCTCAAGTGGCGTGAATCGGTGAACGGAATTCGTGCAAGTCTTGCGGATGGTGCAGACAACGTGAAACAAATTGAGGAGAGGTCAAAGCAGATGCTTCTGGGTCTTCCTCTATGGCTTGTGGAGACGCTGGTGTGTGTTTCTGCTGGTCTGCTACACCGTGCATACATGCGCAATGCCTGTGACTACCGTGTATCATTTGATCTTACTCCGTACGGCGACCTGGCGTTTTTGGAAGCATTTTCACCTGATACATCGTTTATGCCGTCAGAACCTGGTGCTGCTGGTACTGAAAAGTCGGATATTCAGTTCGCAACAGTGCCGTTTGTGAAAAACTTTCAGGCAGATTTGGTTGGCTTGCATTTTCGAGCTCTCGAGAGCTTGGTGTGCCGTTGCGGTCGTGAGCCAAGGTGGCATTGTGCCAAGGCAGACTTACTGCTGAATCCGCTGTCAAAGCAACGACTTGCCTCGACTTCTGGTGAGTCTAGACCCTTTAGCGTTTCGTAAATTTTATCCGGATCTTCTAATGCTCGTGAAATGGTGTTAACAGATCCACTCGCTGCTCTCAAGGGGTATTTGGTGGCAGCCTCATTAGCGACCAATTTCTTCTCCGACATGGTGTCTGTGGTCGACATCATCGATCAAAGTTCACTTGTTCGTTTGGTACGTGACCCTTCTACAAACTTTATGTACGGTTCATGGTTGCGTTGGTGTGCTTACTTTTGCAATGATGTCTACACCAGAGCCAATGTCTCGTTAAAGTTGGAGCACACATTGCAGCCGCTGTGCTTTATCAGTGCTTTATGCCTGAAGAGTTTAAGTACGGTCTCCGAATCTTGCGCCTCGCTCCGGAGTCCCACGACGAGGCATTCTTTCAGTATTTTTGGGAGGTAATGATACACTTTGGAGGGGTTTATGGTACATGATATGAGCTCACTCTGCTACTGCAAACGTGTATTGCAGCTGCCATTCCTTGAGCTACTGGTGGATCTCCATTCGAGCCCAAAATACCTCAATGATAGGTAGGCGCAAATTGCCAATTCTTTTACGTTGCAGTGTCTGACTTGCTGTGTGTTATATGCTCTTCAGACATGTGACGCTGCTCACCAACCTGATCCAGTCTCCCGAATTGAACAGTTCCAATCCCTCTCCAGTCGTCAAGGACGCCGAACAACGCATTCTTCGCTGCTACTTCCGGGACTTGTGCCGAATTTACCTCAGCGACTAAGTGAAATGCAACGTGTTCCTATTGACTGTTGTGCGTTATAGATACGTTTTGATGAAAGTGCTTGGTGGTATATTTACAAACAACAGCGTTTCAACATATCTTAAGATCAACCACACTATTTTTTGCGGTATTATCGATGGATATTTATTTATCGCACTCCTGCTGTCGACTATGAATAGCGTCTAACGCTGACATCCGCCAGCCAGCTGCACAAGTTGAAAGCCCCAAGAACCAACCAGTGAAGATGGCGTCCACCACGTCGCCCAGGAACACACTGCTCGGAGCAACCAACTATGAGCCACGGTTGCGCTCGCATCTCAAGCCGCAGCGCTTCAAGCTCATTGAGCAGTCCTTGCGTCTGGACAGCACCCTGAACCAGATGAACCCGCTGATGACGCGATTAGATCTACGCGATTCCGAACGCTTCGATACGACGGCGAATGACATCGGCAAGTTGGCATGCGAGGAGCCAGAGGAGAGCAAATTCGCGCCTCAAAATGTGCGAAAGGTGCTGCGGTTCCAGAGCTTTTACGTGGAAAGCGTGGACGAGAGCAACCTCGAGATTGTTCGGTTGCGCAGGAACACCATCCTGCTCTACCTGCACGACGAAACCTTCGAGATCATTGAGCCTCGAGTTCGCAACAGCGGCATCCCACAAGGTACTTTCCTCAAGCGATGCAAACTACGACGTCCAGACGGCGAGCTGTACACGTCTGCGGACTTGCGTCTAGGCTTGGACTTGCATGTGTTCGGGCGAAGCTTCAAGTTGTACGACTGCGATGAGTTCACGAGGGAATACTACGCAAAACATGGAGAGGATGTGGGCGTACCGCTCCCATTACCCAAGGACGAATACACTCTCACGCGAGACCAAATTACACGCATGTGTGGTGGAGACCCCGACCACTTTTACGGTAAGCAACGATATCCGCTCAAGACGTACATGGAGGCGTCGTTGGGCAATCCCATTCGGTCCCGTCTGCAGTCGGAGAAGAAGCGCAAGTTCCTGGCCAACAACCGCAAGGTGCTGTGCTTCCACTGCGAGTACGACGTGCGTGACCAGCTCTACGGTGACCTCATGACGTACATCCTCGACTACTTCCTCGAAGACGACACGGTGGAGTTCAAGGAAGTGTCTCGTCCAAACAATGGCCGCGACCCGTTCCCACTGCTGCTTCGTCGTGGTCGTCTGCTCAAGAACTGGCATCAGCATTTGACGGATGAACAAGACCGCGGCGTTGAAGAGCCTACGAGTGCCGAGAGCTATTACGGCGAGACGGATCTGTACGTGGGTGCTGTGCTCAACGTGTTCGGTCGTGAGATGCGTCTTGTGGACGCAGACAAGTACACGCGCGACTACTACCAGATGGCTTGGGGACGTGTACTGGACCCCGCTATGCCAACAAAGATTGAGAAACCTGTATTCCCTAAACCAGAGCCAGCTCCATACAACGGATACGGTACAGAGGAGGACTCACTGGGCTCGTGTCACTCGCTCTGTCCCAAGGCGCCGCGCAAGGATTTCAAGAAGATGGCCGAGTTCGACCGCATGCTGCTGCGCTTCCGTGCACGTCTCGTTTCTAGCCGCAAGGAGCAGCAGCAACGCCGCTTCATCGTTACGTACTTCCTCACGGACGACACGATCTCCATCTACGAGCCAGAGCTGCGCAACTCGGGCATCGTGAACGGCAAATTCCTCGAACGTGGCGCCTACAAGAACCCGGAAGGTGTGCGTTACATCCTCGACCACTTGGTGATAGGCAATGAGCTCGCGTTCAACTCGCACCGCTTCCAACTGCTCGACGCTGACGAGTACACCAAGAAGTTCCTCGCCTCCTAACTGCATAACTTTCATCTTTAGTATCAGATTTTTCGACTACTGAAAAACAAGTTGAAGTGCTTCTTGAATCAGATTTTCACGCGTCGCAGATTCACACGTCACATATTATGTGGTCCACCCAACACAATAACTGTAAAACAAAAATCCATTTCTAAACCATCATCACAAGCAGCATGTCAAGCTCCGAGCCTCTCGTTGTGGGCGTCATTTTCCCGGTCAAGAAGATCGCACGGCTGCAAGAGGTGCTGGATGTGGAGGCAGATAGTGTGCGCTTCGTTCTGATCGACTTAGAGGCCGCGATACCCACGGGTGCCTCCGTGACGGATGCCGACCTGGAGGCTGCGGCTATGCGCCTCGCTGCATATTATGGACCTCTGGACGTGTTACTGCACAAACTGGCGCATGATATGGTGTTCGCTGGACTAGGGAATCAAGACGCAGCCAACCGCGTGCAACTGGTGCAGCATTTCTTGCGACGTCATCCCTCAGTGCGTGTAGTGGACCCGATTGACAGCGTTCGGTTGCTAACGGACCGCCACGCAGCCTGCAAAATGCTGCGGAGCATGGAACAGAATGGAAATATACGGACACAGCGCTTTAAAGTGCCCAATTTCTACGAGGTGAAGAGTCTTGAGCAGTTTCAGGCGCTGCAGGAGGAGCTAGGCGCTAGACGCACGAAACTCCCGCTTATCTGCAAGTCCGTCGAGGCCTGCGGTGCGTGATTAAAGACCTTTGAGCTGGGGATGTAAGAACTGATGATACATTTTGTCGTTTACATGATTTTGGTGCTGCAGCGACGGACCGTTCGCACATGATGAGTGTCATCACCAAGCGCGAAGATCTGCACTACGTCGAATACCCAACGCTGTATCAGGTGGACGATCAACTGCTTTGGATTGAGTAGATGATCATTTCTCTGACTGTTGTTGATGTTGTAGGAATTCATTAACCACTCGGGTCGCCTCTTCAAGGGCTACGTGTTGGGCGACATCATCAATGTTGCAGAGCGACGGTCATTGCCGAACCTCGTGGCTGGAACTGCTCAACACGTGCACTTTGACACGCAGCAGAACTACCCTACAAGCAGAGATTTTCATCCTCACGTAGACGACAGCACGTCGCAAGAAGAGATTGTTGGTGGGTGGACGCAGGAAGAAATTTTCGCGGGCGTGCGCGAGATCGGCAAATGTCTTCGTGACGAGCTGAAGCTGACACTGTTCGGCTTCGACGTCATTGTGGCAGATGACGGCTCGCAAGAACTCTACGTAATTGATGTCAACTACTTCCCGTCCTACAGAGAGCTTGACGACTTGGACTCCATCCTCAGGAAGCACATCAAGCAGCTGTGTGGTCGCCAGTAAGGTCATTTAAGGCATTTACACTTCGACTTCCGTGTTTGCTACTGTAGACAACCACAAATCTATACGTTCCCTGCAGCACCGGTCGAGTGTTGATGAATAAAATCTACAGCTCGTACCACGTTTTTTCCTGCTTGGCCTTTTCAATGCGCTCCTTGCGTTTTAAAACAGCGGCGGCGGTGACTGGTCTTGCCATAGTTTTTACTTCACTTCGACTAGATCTACCAGCATTGTGAAAACCGTCTCCAGATAGTTTTGTGTACATTTCATTCACTTTTTCTTCACGCGCGAACTGCCACTGCGCTTTGTCTCCACTGAAAAATGTCTCGAGGATTTCACGGAGCTGGTCGTTCCAGCTCTTCACTTGATGATATTGGTCTAACGCCATGTTCATCCCATCTGTAGGGGATAAATCTTCAGCAGGTGCTACTTTCAAGGCATTCATCTTCGCATTTAGTTCATCTAGACATTTCTCCATCGACGATCTTAGATCACGTCGAGACTTCTGGTCAAAGCTGCTAAGATATTCCTCGATAGGCACAAACAACGTCTTAAGGACAACTGGAAATTGAGTATCGACTTGTCTAGCTACTGAGCCTTTTACAAGCTTCAGTTTTGGCAATAATTGTGTACGGAACAAGCCGTCTAAGCGTTGTTCGAGCATTTTTGCTTCCTCTGCGGTCTTTCCCCTGCTTTGCGCGATCTTCATGCGGTTCTGTAGGCGATACATTGGCTCCAGTACTTCGGTTGCCATGCTTAGCAGTAGCTCGAGAAGCTGTTCCATCTGCTGACGGAGTATTTCAACCTCTAGTGCTGCTTCTTCCAGTAGTTCTGGTCGCTGTTTCTCCTTCACTGCTAGAAGCGCTCTACCTCCACCACTACTAATCGCCCATAGTTTCGATTCATTCGACACCTTATCGTCTTCTTCATCACAATGCGTCCACTGAACGGAGACTATCAACGAGCCACGCGTACGTGGTGAATTACTCTCTCCCTCCTCGTCCACCAGAGGTAACTCTGCAGTCATTCGCTTGCCGTGGGTAAACGTCTGGATGGGGATAGACACCATGCCCAAGAAATCGTCAGGGCCGTCGAAACGTTCCGCTTCTTGGCTATCACTCACTTGGACGCTGTCTTCATCCATGAATTCCTGCTTCTTGTTACTAGCTTTACGTGTTGAGACGACATCGTAGTCAAACACCTTTAACGTCAATAAAGCTGTGTCATTCTTCAGGGCTGAAGCTGCGGTCTGCGGCAGAACTTGGTGTTCTGTGAAGATATAGCGGAAGTGGAATTCTTCGTTCCACTTCGGATTGAGTGAATTGTACCGCACACTTGTTTTTGCAGTTCCCACTATTTCTCCTGTTGGATCTGTCAGTCTAAGCTTCACGAATGGGTCGCTGCTCAACAAGTCACAAGTGCGCAAGTGTTGGGCCTTTTCGACTACAATACGAATGCAATTCAAACTCCGAAGTAGGATTCGTCGCCGAGTTGATTCTAATTCCCAAGACACCAAACACACCGACAGAAAAACACCATTAAGTCGGCGTCGCCGCTGTCTTCTACTATGGTATTTGCGATAGGCATCTTGCACGAGAAGAACGTGGTAGAGCAGGAATTCGTCGGCGAGCATCGCGTATGTAGGCGGTCGAGCAAGATATTTGGTAGCGTTGGGGTCTGAGTACGCTTCATGAGAGCCTGGACTGTAAAACTGGAACTCCTTTTTACGTTCATTGAACACTGCTATCCAGTGATAAGGATCTTCAGCGTGCAGTCGAAGCAGTTTTTCTCTATGATAACGCACTCGGGTTTTCATTTCACTGGACATGACAACGATCCGATGCGGGAGACGCTCTTGCTCCTCCATCGTAATTGGTTCCTTGTCTTCATATCCGAGAGGTTCATCGCTCCAGTTCGAGCGGAATGTTTCGCCAGTATCTTGGTTAAGGTAGCGAGTTAATATGTCACCGTTGGGTTCTCGGTTTGTAATTTTGACCCATTCTGACGTCGCTGGAGTCTTCCTCGCCAATGCTTCTTCGAGAGGACCAACGAGTTTTGACGTGCCATGAGCATCGGCAAGTAATTCACGGATAATAGCCAGTTGTTTCTCGAGTTCTGCACGGTCTGTTAGGGTGCCATAGTGATTCTTGTTCTGTTGTGCCATTTTGCGCGTTAGAATCGCTTCTGCATGTCCAAGCAACGGAATAGCTTGGTCTCCCCACTTCACATCATTCAGATTTACCCGGTAGCAACGACTTAGTGCTACTAAATCGGCGACAATAGCCAACGAATCAGTCGTGGTAAGTCGAATTCCAATCTTACTTGTCCGTCGCTGCAACTCAGAAGTTAAGCGCACAGCTTTCACGAAAAACCATTTCGCGATAAATAAGTCCTTATCCAGCATAAACTGACAAGCAAATCGACTCCAGATCCAGCGAGATGAAACAAAAACTTGCAGATCTCCGTGCAAATGCACCCTAACGTCCTTCACATCCCAATTGCCACTTCGAGTCACCCACGTTGTTGTTCGTTTTGATTGCGGCACCATTGATTGGGGTTTTACAATCACTTGGAAGCTAAGAAAAATTCGAGCTACCTTGTTGTGGCTTTCTTTATTAGACCGTGGCGCCTTCAGTAGTGTAAGTTCATAGAATTTCCCTTCAGTAATTCCGTCATGTGCTGAGATCAGATCGTGAATTGCTATCGATACATATCCGATCGTGTCTGCCTCTTGCCATCGAGAATTTCGCCTTGCACGGTTCATCACACTAACAGTAATATTGGCTTGAGCCGAAGAGACCGGAATCTCGATGTCTTCTTCCCAACTAGGAGACAAATTCGTCCACGTTGGTGGGGATCGCGTTATAGTTGTCTGTCCCTCAAGTCGAATTGCCACAAACGGATAACTCAGCAACACATTCGAGATCGTCACATCATGCGTAGCCCCCACAAAGATCATAATTCCTTGTAGGTTTTCAGCACGATATCGGACGCTATTGACCATTCGACCATTTTTTTCGGATATTTTATCATCGTTCTTCACAAGGTCCATCAGCTCCTGGTGCAGTGAGTGGAAATCACGCCAGCTACGACTGCGCTCGACAGGAATCTGCTTCATTTCCTCTTGTAGCTGCACGAAATAACCGCGGATGAAAAGAACTTCGGCATCGCTAAAGTAGAACGGGAGGCGAATAGAATTAGGCCACTTGATCCTCTTTGCTATCTTCTTCAAAGCCTCAGACGAATACAACTGCGCTCGATTTTCCCTTTGCTCAATGATCTCGTCTATAGCAGATACGGCAGCATCAAGATGGCGCCACGAATTTTCTGCTTGGGACACTTTTGACTCATGCAGAAACGATAACCTGAGCAGAATGAGCTCTTCATACGCCGTATAAAGAGAAGTTTGGGACTGCGAACCGCGCAAGCGTCCCAGTAAACTCTCGTAAACGTCGATGAGTGTCGATGCACTGTGGCTTTTGTAGCGATAAAGAACCTCAGCCATCTCGAAGCACAACAGAAACGGCATGTGATGCCACGAAAGAAGCAGCAGCTTCACGTTGAATGTCCGTGTCTTCGCAGTTTTCTTCTTTTTGACTTTATCAAAATGTCCGGTCATGCTCGTCAGACGTGTACTCCAGGTATTCTGATGCATGTGAAAGCGCTTGAATAACTGAGTAACACAAATGTAAGCGCACTTCAAATGAAGACCCTCATACCACGAGTCATTTACAACGTAGGCACGGACATGCGCTTTCAAGAGACTTCGGATGAAGAAAGTATCGCCACACTCAGCATACATTTCATCAGCGACTCGTTGTAGCAGCAGTGCCTCTCGAAACGGATCTCCACGGAATCGTAGTGCCAGACTGTCATATTGCCATGCCTTTAAGCACAAACGCTCAAGTTTCTGGAGTCGCCCAAGGCGAGACGAGAACGGTTCCTGCTTCGAGATCGATACGTTGAGTGACCATGCTCGTTGAACTGCTGTCAAGTTATCAATAAATAAACGTGTGGTGGGAGTCGATCGCTTTTGAATCATCTCCACACGCGCCTGCTGCATGAACAATGCGCTTTCGTTTCGTTTCTGCATGTTAATTGTGACTCGAGCAGCCAGGAAACTCGCATTTGCACGCTGAGAGCGATCTTTCGAATGCAACAGCGCCTCACGTGCTGCGAATTCAGCAAATACCCACGCCTCACTACATTCCAGTAACTTTGCGATTTCAAGACACACAGCACTCCACGTCTCGTTGCGTCGTTTCCACCGTCTGTCACTATCAGACCGTATTGCTGCTGTCTCATTAATTTTACGCTCCCATTCATTCCACGCCAATAGCCTGGATAACACAACACATTTTCCATGCAACAATTCAGGTTGGGATCGTTCCAGTTTATTCCGTAGTGACCGAGTATATATGGACTTTCGGATGCCTAATTCCATTTGGACACCTGCTTCAGGTGGGAGATTAGCTACCAGACCGTGTATGCTAAAGCTGCCAAGGTGGTCGGGCATTTTGCGTGTCTTGTAGATTCCAGAGTCTGTGAATTCGATACGCATGGATGCAACGCGAAGAGGCCGATCTGACAGCTTTACTTGAAGAAATATCTTCTCTTTTTTGCCTGCTGCTTCAATAGGGTGATGCAGAAGAAAGGATCCCACCCGTTCCTTCGATAACAACCGTTTGGCTTCACTCTTTTCCATTCGACCGTGATAAAATCCAACTGATGGCCAGAGCTCAATCACTCGGTAGCACTGTTTTAGTAACTGCGCCGCAGTTCTCAAGCATGTGTTTGTTTCAGGATCATCAGTCTTGGAACTTCCAGTATTGTCTGCGAAACTTTCCTCGTATCGCTTTAACAAAATTAAAGCTATTGTAAAGCGGACTTCCAAGTCAGTAAATGCGCTTCGAGATGGCAAGCTCAGCACCTTCTCCAGTTGACTGCAGCTTTTAGTGGAGAAATTCTGCTCAAAGTATAACATGCTACTCAGCATGAGGAGCTGAGCTTCAACGTTAGCTGCATCGAAGATTGAGACGCCACTCGGACCAGAGAAGAACCCCTGTAAAAGACTGTGCGATAAATTTAAAGCCTTGCCTTTCTCGCTTCGTTTGCCACTCCAAAACATACACCGGACAAGCTCGAATTGAGAGTGGAATCGCAGCTCGTTCAAAGAAACCGCAACTGATTGAAATGAGGCCCATGACTTCGCCACTGTGTCCACTTGGAGGTAACTTTCCCATCCAACTCGTGCTTGATTCAGGTTAAACACATTACCACTCGCTTCGAAGACTCTAAAGTGGCTGATAGCATACGCTTGCCAGAACTGAAGTCGTCCAGCAAGACGCATAACGTCACTGTTTGAATCATCAACATCATAGGAATTATCTCGCGCAAGAATCCAATCAGTCCCAAGCTTGGTAGGTGACGCGCTGAAGCTGAAGGACATTCTTGACCCGCTCACTAGTTTGCGCTGAGAGTTAGTTGTTACTAACTTTTGGTTATTTAATCCCGGCTGCAGCGTGGGCATTGTCTCCTCTGTAAAAACGTCTTGTCGAAAGCAATTCTCCAAATACAAAGCGGCTTGATCATACCGTTTAATCTCGAAAAAGTCAAAGCCTTTACTGGGATTTTGCCGCCATTTCTGCTGTTCATGTCTGCTCAGTAGTCCCCGGAATTGTGCTCGAGCACAACATCCTCGATAATGTTTTTGAATGATCTCTGCAGATCTAATACGCAGCTTGACGGCTGCTTGCTTAGCTGCTTGCAGTATCAACGGGGCGCAGACACTTGTGGCAATGTATGTAATACGTCGCTGCTGTAAACATTTTCTTGCGTGGTGGCACCGCCAACTACACTGGATTCGGATTGCTGCGCACCGTCGACGAAGTCTCTTAGCGACATGCTGGGCATTGTACACTCGAATAAGCTTTTGCAACCTTAGCGCAGCGTCAAGTTGACGTCGCTCGAGTCTCCGCTTTCCCACCACTCGTCTTGCCAAAAACACTCGAATAGAACACTGCAACACCAGCACGGCTAGAGATACCACATAACGCCACAACTGAACTAATCTTCCTCTAGTCAACTTCACAGGATCATCGACAGCTCTCACAGCAATTGGAGGGTGATGCAGAATACGACTTGCAGCGAGTTGAGCGCATGTAAATCCCAGCCACCACGACAATAACTGTGCTGGGGCGTGCAAGTAGAAGCCACATATCGGTATAATAGATGCCACCGCTTGAAGGTGATTCTCTTGGGAGCTCACTATTACTTGCAATGCATGTGTCAAACACGAGGAATGTCCAGTGATCTTCGCCGCGATGTCAAGCTGTCGTCTCCAAATCTCGACTTTTAGTCTCTCTCGCAGTGTCACTGCTGCGTATCTTCTCCACGAACACTGGATCACCAACGCTGCAGATTGTTTCACAGTATTAATCGTCCGATCTCTCGCGGAATTAGGCGAGTCGAGTCCATCGAAATTTCGCCACCTCAGTTCACTTCTAGCGACGAAATTTCCAGTATGCAAATCACGAACGTACGTGCTGGTTAACTGTGAGAGCGTCTGCAGTCGAGGATAAACTTTAGGCGAACTACGAGGTCCAATTGAAGCTGTCGGTAGCTGAGTCAGTCTTTGATGTTTCCGTCCGGCCACTTCATCAGTCGACAGCGGAGGCAACTCAGACGACCGCTTGGAGCGCATGACGCCTACTAAAGCGACGCTTCGTCTACAGACTCTTTCTCCTCTAGTTTATTCCTTCATCCACTAGAACCCGCTTTTATTTTTCATCAGAGTCAGTGGTCAATATTTTTCACGCTACGTTTGGTGTCGTCCCGATTTCTATACAATCTGCGTCTCCAGTTCCGTTTCTAAAGCAGGCGTCACTGCAGGTCCCACAAGCAGGTCATCCATACTGGACTGGGCTTCAGCTAGGAGCTCCTCAAACTCCTTCCCGATACTGCCCTGTTTACGAGGCGAAGCTGAGTCAAGCTGTGAACCTTCGTCGGAGAAGAGCGTCTCACTCGAGAGCGCTCGCTCGCGCTGCAGCACCGAGGAAGGAGACACGCATCCGGTGCGTTTGGGCTCTAAATAGTAGCCCTCAGGCTTGAGAGGCAGCGTCTTAACACGCTCGCGAGCAAACAGAAGCGAGCACAATTCCTTCAGGATCTCGTCTAGCACCACATAGCCGCACAACAGCCGCGTCTCCGCCTCGTGGTCGTTCAGTGCTGCGTCGTTGTCCTCGTCCACCAGTTTCTTGCGCAATACTTGCAGCTGTGATGCACCATTGGGTAGGCGATTCAAGCGACGTAGGGCATCAGCGTACACTTCCTCAAGGATACTACGCAGACTCTGACCTGTTGGTAGAGTCTCGTCCAGGTCGAACACCACAGCGGAGCACCGAGACTTCTGAGCGAGCGAATAGATCAGGCCTGACAGCGCCAAATTCTCCTGGAACGAGTTCTCCAATAATCGCTCCACGCGACTCAGCACGATGCGCAGGAAGAGCGGCATGGAGCCTTCGTCGACGGTTAGTCTCTGTAAGAACTGCGACTGTGACCGCTGTCGTAGAACAGCGGGCTCCGCAGGCGAGAAAGAAGGCAAACTGATGCTTAGATACACATCACGTAGTGGTTTCATGGCGTTGCGTGTAGCTGCCGTGCGACTGGAAGATCCTCTTGACGGAGATGTCGCGTTGGCAGCCACAGGAGCAGAAGGAGGAGCGTTTCCCGTACCTTCCGATGCTACAACTGCTGTTTCTTCTTGGAAATCGGCATCAGAATCGTCTGAGTCATCCAGCTCTTCAGGACCGCGTTGACAAGCAGCGTACTCGGCATCAGCTATGTACGATAGCAGCGACAGCACTTGGTCTTCTTGGTCGTCAGCTGCCGGGATTTCCTCTCCAGTATCTTCGGGGCCCGTGAACGCGCGGATTTTCCACAGATGGACATTCGCCGCTACAGAGGAATCAGGGAACCGTGATGCGAACCAGATCGCACCGTTGGCAGGAGCATTCGGGCTCAGCAACGAAGAAGTTGTGGGTCGTTGCTTGCGCGGACTGGACTCGCTTCCACTCTCGGCACTGCTCTCCGGTTTGTTCAGAGCACCTAGCAGTACACTGTCAGCGTACTCATCCTGTAACTCCAGCACACTCGTGAACAAATCGATCGTAGCAATGCACAAAGAGCTCGAAAGGGAGTCCATGTGTCGTAGTAACTCGGATGGAAGCTGCTGTGCTACGGATGAGTCCTCTGCTTGTGTTTCAGGTTCAGACACAGCTGATTCTTCTTCCATAGTCGCTGTAATCGGCTTCGTTGAAGATCTTTTAGTTGACGCAGGTGTACGCTCTAGAAGAAACTGTAAATAAATGAAAAGCAGCGGGTTCGCACGCGTATCACGGCCACAAGCTGTGAGTTCTTCCAGGATAATACGTGCATACAAAGTAGCAGCACAAGCCGCAGCCTCTGACGTATGCAGCAGTCCTTCAAGTAGTGGGCCTTCCAAGAAACGAGACCGGAACTGATCCAGCAGCTCGTCGGCTATGGAGCGGCGCTGCAGCTCCCCAGTGATTTCGTCTTTTTCCTCCAACTCATATCGAGCCACCATGGCAAGTGTACAGCAAAATCGCAGACGCACAGCGAGGAAACTCAGCTCCACCTCCATGTTTGCATCGGGATCCGACGGGCTCGCAGCTGCAGCCGGAGTCTTCGCTGTTGACGCCAGAGTCTTGGGAAGAGCATCAAAGGCTGAAATGACGCCGTTGACTGCGTAGTGACAGAACGGAGTGAGCTGCAACACGAAGCGACATAAAGCCTTATCATGCACCGCCGCCGCAATGACCAGAGCTTCACGACACTTTTCTCCAATTTTTCCAACTGCATACATATGTGGCAGCAGTCCCGTAAAGAGAATAAGTTCTGGTACTTCACTCTGTGTGTGGTGGTTGTGGAGATGAAGGAACGGGTCGTCACTGGCCGATCGAAGTCGAGTGTTGCCATCTGACTTGGTTGCCATGTCGGTGGTGCGGATCATGAGTCTATCGGCATGTAGGAAAAAGAATTCGGTCTGTACGGGGTCTCCTCGTAATTTCTTCCATAGGATATTGAGCAGACTGATGAGGTATTTGCGTACAGTTGGGTCCTCCACTTCCTTGCGTGCAGCTGCCTGGATGAGAGCCACCACAGACACGTGCACCTCACGTGTGGGTAGAATAGGGTAACTCACGCGACTGAGCAGCGCACCCACGAACTGCATGGCGAGCGACATGATACCGCAAGGCTGGTCTCTTCGCCCCACTTCGCACAGATGAGGGATGATTTGCTTCTCTAGTAAATACTCGAGACATTCGTGCGACGCGTGCTCTACTTGCTCCGGGGACAACGGCGTCTGTGACTGTGCGCGAGAGCGGGAGCGCGCTCGGGGCTCAGCGCTGGCTGCATCCTCGGCTGCCGCCTTGGGGCGCGCCATGACCATCTCCCAGCGATCTGAGTTGTTCTCCTCCTCGTAGATGAGCAGCACCAGTTTGAGAAGCGAGTCGCGGGTGTGACTCTCAAGTAGCAGTCGTCGCTGCTCTGCTGGCTCCAAGTCACGCGATAGCACGGACTCGAGGAAGCGCGCCACAGTTGTCCAGCGGTGATGGAACTCATCCACGCGCGACTCGTACAGCGTCGGCGCCACCATGTCTGCCGCCTGGGCTAGCGCATCTGACGCACGCGCTGCCACCAGACGCAGCTTGGAGCGCAGCCAGCTCATGGTTGCTTGGTCTGCTCTGTGCTCCTACCTGCCGAGGAGCTTCTTGGCGCCTCCTTGTTGCGGAAGTGAGGGAGGCG